AAAACTGATTCCAAATTACACTTGAAGGTAGAAGCACTACCTACATGGTTTTAAAATTCTTGGGGGCAGATTGGGGGTGAGTGGGTTAGTTTTCTACAAATATGCCTCCCTCGATTGCAGCTGCAATCCAATATACAAGGCTGCAACCCTGTTTAACTTACTTTGCAAAAACCCCTCTGAACTTAGCGGAACTTCCTTTGGAGTAGGATCCTAGGATCAGGCTGTAAGAGTTGTTTAAAATGTTTGAAAAGATTTTGCAGAGAGCTTATGGGCTGCCTTAGAAAACAGGAGTCCTGGAGCCTATTTAGGCCTAGGGAGAAGTGTAAATATAGTGGTTTCTCATTTTTTGTGTGGGATCCAGATGTCTTTCCTCTATGCTTGCTGCAGAGACGTGTTACTCTGTCACTGAGAAAAGTAATACCCTTTCCTGCTCAGTCCATCCCACCTTGCAATTTGATGCAGAAGCTGCATTCCATGCAACCACACCACTGAAACATATATTTCTTTAAAAGTGGTAAAATGCCACCAATCCCATTTGCCCTTTGTAGGTTCTCAGTTATTCTCAGTTATTAAGAAGTGGAAACTTAACTTAGTACAGGGTGTGAACTCCAGCACACATCCTTCCTGTTTTCTTTTTAAAGTGTCAGGCAGGAGAGAGGCTGTTCTTCCCATCCCTAAAAACTGGTAAGAAAGCTACCATGACCCTCTCTCCCTATTTAATGGGAACAGAATACTATACTATTGTTGACATTGGACTGGCACTACTGTGAGTTTAGCAGTGAAAGTGTGTTTATTAAAATTTGTCTGGAAAGCGCAGAGACCAACAGAGTAGGAGGCCTGGAGAGAAACTGAACCCCACGTAGAGTGTTTGCTTTCTTTTTTCCTCTGATGCGCTTGCCAAGAATGTTCGCCGCTCCCCTCCTTCCACCCACCTCCATTTTCAAGCTCTGTCTCATCAAGGGAGATTGCTCTTCACCCACCATAACGTTTATCATTTCAGAAAGGCAAGGATTCCAAGCCCCTTTGTTTTATTGCAGGGGCTGACTGGAATGTTTGCAGCGAGCTGTAGAAGAGAGTCTACTCTACCCACCGAACCCCATACCTAGGTACAGTGGTACCTCTGGTTACAAACTTAATTCATTCCGGAGGTCCGTTCTTAACCTGAAACCGTTCTTAACCTGAGGTACCACATTAGCTAATGGGGCCTCCCGCTGCTGCTGCACTGATGGCGTGCAATTTCTGTTCTCATCCTGAGGTAAAGTTCTTAACCCGAGGTACTACTCCGGGTTAGCGGAGTCTGTAACCCGAGGTGTTTGTAACCCAAGGTACCACTGTATCTTGAAAGATGTCAGGAACTGATCCCTGCAGTTCAATTTTCTGTCACTTTCCCCACCAGGAGAATCTGTGTAGGCCAGCTGTGGAAACACAATAGGGTCACCATTTTGCCTAATTTGTGGGGTTTGTTTGGACAAAGAATTTACAGAAAGTTGTTCTCATAAATCCAACAACTATCGCCTTTCCCAAAGCTCAGTTTCATCATTCTCACTAGAACAGTTCTGAATTGCACAATCTAGGACAAGAATGAGGGAGACATCTACTGGTGACTCCTGTCGCCACAGTCTAGGGATCTTTCCCACATACTCAGTTGGGGTTTTTGGGGGGTGTGGTGGGGTGGTAGAATAAATGCATATTCATTTATCATTTGCTGTTGTGTGGACACGTTTCCCCCACCGAATTCTGTTATGATTGCTCAGTCCCTTCTATTACCGCAGTTGTGCCACGGACACATGTACTGCAAGCCCAAATGGATCAGATGAAAATGCTATGGCCCTTTACATAAAAATATTGGAAGTTTGAGATGCCCCCCTCGCCCACCCCACAACTCATCAGAGACTCAAGACTGTGCATGGAAACTGCCGTCATGCTGCCAGGGAATGTTGGTAACAGAGCAGCACGCAGATGTTGGTACTCAGGTGGCTGCAGCTGGGACTTAGGCCAAAAGGAAATCAAACAGCTTATTGCTTGCTTCACTTTAGCCTGGGACCTGAGGTGGCTGGGGGTGACCGGGCTCCTACCCCAATTTTTGTTCAAATTATTTTTCAATCCCGCCCATCACACAAGGTGGAACAGATAGTATCCGTGCGATGCGGTGATCCTGGAATATAAAAGGACAGGAAGTGAAATACGTGGAGGGTTGGTGCTGCGCATCTAGCGCCTGGAAGTGCTGACATCCTCACAGCCGCAAGACGTACCTTTGAAGTCACACTCCAAGGTGGCATCGGGCGGTGCCAGTCCATTCCAGTGCCCTGCAAGGAGGGTGATGATCAGGTGCCCTGAGCAACCTACAGTTCCCAGGACTTTTGCCCAAATCTTCCTGAGAATAAGGGTAGCTTGTTCAGGACACGGGGGGGGGTTGTGATTTCCCCCACAGAACTACAGTTCCCAGAGTAGGTTACCAGGATGCTTTGGGGAAACTATCTTTCTCTATTGTATAACTTGTGTCGCATTTTACTGGGGTGAGTAGTTGTTTACAGGACTGCTTCATCTTCCAGTTAGGATGGGATATTCTAATTTAAACTGACATGTTTTAGGGAACTGGACAAAAGAAAGAAAGAAATCCACTTTGCAGGACTGAATTAGTTCTGGTAATTGAGGTCAGCTCTTCACAGCATAACTGAGCCAACTGGACAATAATTAGCTGGATTGAATCAGTTGTTCCACTTTGCTAATAATTAGAAGCTGATGCTGAGAAACAGGCGGTGTCTAAAGCCGGGGTGGGGAACTCAGTGGCCTCCAACTCTCATCCACGCCCCCCAATATGGTAAATGGTCAGGGGTGATGGGCAACTGGAGCCCAAAATATTTGGAGGGTGCCAGGCTGAGGAAGGTTGAATTAGTGAGGGATTCGGGTGGCGCTGTGGGTTAAACCACAGAGCCTAGGACTAGCCGATCAGAAGGTTGGCGGTTCGAATCCCTGCAATGGGCTCCTGCCAACCTAGCAGTTCGAAAGCACGTCAAAGTGCAAGTAGATAAATAGGTACCACTCCTGCAGGAAGGTAAATGGCGTTACCGTGCGCTGCTCTGGTTTGCCAGAAGCGGCTTAGTCATGCTGGCCACATGACCCGGAAACTGTACACACACCGGCTCCCTCGGCCAATAAAGCGAGATGAGCGCCGCAACCCCAGAGTCAGTCATGACTAGTCCTAATAGTCAGGGGTCCCTTTACCTTTACTATATTTAGTGTTCAAAAACTCTTGTCCTTCTTTTGGGAACACTCTTTTAAAGGATTATGGCAATGTGGCTCTGAGCATATGCAGAGTGCCTTTCAATTGTGCACAGAACAACCCTTTTGTTTTAAAACTGCAAGAGATTGTACCTAAATTATTGCTTTGGGAGGACCTGTCCTTTGATAGCCCAGATGAAATTGGTGGATTGTAGCGACAGGGAACGCTCTGTATATGTCGAAAGGTACTGCATTTATTTTGTGTAACTGAAGGCTGAGTCCAGCTGTTGAAAAATTTCCAGGGCAGAGTCTGCCTCAAATTAAGCCTCCAGCGGCAGGAAAGACCATCTCAAAGCTTAGGCTCAAGTTGCTACTTCTCCTCCACCCCACCGGCCAGGGCTCTTGTAACTAACAGCTACATTAGAAAGAGGAAAAGAACAGGTGCCGCTTTCCCCCAACTCCCATCATTTATCACAATGCAGGAGGAAGCTGTGCCTGTTGGACTCCTGCCTATCATACAACTTTTTAAAGTAGAAGTTTCTCGGGGATTAAATATATATATATATAGTTAACCCTAGGTGTGTAAACTGAAGTCAGTCTAATATTTGTGGCTTCTAACACAGCACAGTACCCATCAGGTCACTCTCCCCATTGATTGCCTGCGTCTTTTATCACTTTCAAATGCTGCCTCTTTGAATTGCTCGCTTTCGAATGCTCTGCCCCATCCAAGCTCCCGTCGAGCAGCTATTGGTGCAGGTGAGAGATCTGAACGGGAAAGTCATTGGCTTGCCTTTGTGAAATTTTAAATTCTAGTAATTTCTAGGTTTGCATATACAGTAATTGCTTATAAATTAACACACGGAATTTTTATTTTAAAAATAAATATCTGGGCTTGGATCTTTTGAATACCCCGTGATGCTCCTGTGCGTAGTATTTTTTTCCTAAAGACCCAGTTTGGCGAGGCTAAACCCCAGCCGGCCACTCTTCTGCTGCTGCGTCGCCCGTCCTGGAGAGGGAAGAGTTAAGCCTCTACGATCCACAGCTGCACAGCCCGGGCTTTTGCCTCCAGAAGCTGCAGAGCTTAATTGTTTCCTTTCGCCGAAACCCCTTCCGCCCCCTCCTCGGAGCCCAAGCAAGCGGGACAGGCTGCATAATAGAAACCAGACTCCGAAGGAAAGAGGGATTTGTTCCCCCGCCTTGCGCCTCGCCCTCCCGGGTTGCAGGCGTAGGATCGCTGCTGCCCTCTGCCGATCAGCGCCCCCCACATGGCCCCGACCTCCAAAACAGCGCGCCCGGGAGAGAAAAAGAGAACGATTTCCCTCTCGACCCTTTTCCTGGAAAACAGAAACGGGCGGCGCGGAAGCCTCGTACGGCAATATAACTTTACACGTGTACAGTGGTTGCGTCGGAATTCTGAATCCTTCACTTTGGCGGTGAAGGCGGCAGAGCTCCGGTCTCCATGGGGGTGCAGCATAATAGTCGGATCTGCCTGCTAGATTTACAGCAAGGGCATCACGAGAAACGCTTCGAGCAACACCCCCGCCCTACCCCGGGTCTCCCACCCTTTCTTCCTCATCTTCCCCGCCAACTTTCCTTTCCCCTCCCGCAAAAACGCGCCTTTAAATCCCACCCATGAACGCGTCTGAAGCTGGCGAGCACCCACGCGCCCCCTGCGTCCTGTATTGGAAGTGACGTCCCCTCTCTCCATCCCCATTGGCCGAAAGTTTGGGAAAGGGGCGGGGTTGGGGAATATTCCGCTTCCCCAGGAGCCGGTAAGTCTCTCTCTTTTTTCCAATGTGCGGTATTTTTTCCTCGCACGTTTCCTGGCGATTAATTCCCATCCCCTTTTCTTCGCGGGAGCCGACCGCCTTCACGGTAATGAAACACTCCCACCCAAAATTTCTGGCCGGTTGCTCCAAGCGTCTGCCAATGAATTCGGAATTCTGCAAGACCTCTTGTCTTGCTCTGCATGAAACAATGTGTTGTTTCATAATTCAAGAGGGGAATGGTTTAGCAATCATTTTTTAAAATCTGCTTTAATTTTTTATTTATTTCAAAAACCGTACTTTTAATTCTGGCATCAGTCACCAGTTTCTCCAGCTAACAAGGGGGGGGGGAAGAATTCTGATGAAACTTGGAAATAACTGATTACACAGTTCAGGGCTAGATTACTCATGGTACTTAGATCTTAAGAGTTATAAAACATCAGTGAGTTTCCATTCCTCAGCCTTTATTCTATGTCAAAGTTTACATTTGAGCCTTGTTGCTGAAAGCCTGAAATACTTTGCAAAGCCCCCCTGCGCATCTATAAATAAAAATAAGGAAATTGCTGATGCATCACTTTTATCTAATTGGCATCTAAATTAGATTCCTTAAGCTCAGAATTAGAGTGCATAGAAAAAGGCCACCATAGCATCTTTTTGCAGTGATATGGGCGGGGTGGGGAGGGAATGTCAATGCTTTGCTTGATTACAACTCATAAAGTTCCACAAGACTCTCGTTTTTGCTGCAGCTCTTCCAGAATTTATTACTCTACAACAGTTCGTAGAATCCCATATTGTAGTGGTGTTGTCCTGGGAGCTTCTTTTCTTCCTACCTACTCTCTTCCCCCTGTGATCCAGCTCTGTCACTGGTGGTCAGTGATTGTTAATGACTGGCAGGCTCAAATGATCTCACATGACTTGGTCTTGCTAAAGTGAATGGGATTAAGTGCTTGAACAGCCTCCTAAGTACCAAGGAGGGGAAATGCTTTCAAAGAATGGCAACTAGGGGTGCAATATTAGGATGAAATACATTCTTAACTATCCACTCCTACATACCTATTCTTTCTCAGTCACCTGTACTTACTTTTCCTGCCAGTCCTGTACTTTATGCAAACAAGTAGCAAGATGTCCACCTAGCATCTGTAGAAAATGATGTGATTTCCGCCACCCCCCCCCAAAATATTTATTTCAGATTGCTATTTGAAGCAGGTGGGTGGCTTTCAGAACTGTTTGATTATAGAGTCTGTGGCAACATTATTGACTCTTACAACGCAACTAATGGCTCAAAGCTCCTCCTCAGAGCTGACTGTATTTTTAGGCAGAGAGAGCTGATTGCCTCAATAGACACATGCAAGGAAGAGGGGCCAATGGTGGCAGCTCTACAGCCCTTTCTCTTACGCCCTCTGGCTGTGCCCTTCCGCTGGGGGAAAGAGTTACATATGCCAGGCATGTCCAAAGTCTGTATCAGCCCCTGTGGCAGTTTATTTCTTGGAGTCAAATCCTAAAAAAAAGCTGAACAACTTTGGTCGGCCCTCACTTCATCAGATCTGGCCCTCTTTGAAAAAAGTTTGGGCACCCCTGACCTATGCCATGTGGCTTGTTTTGCATTCCTGTAATTATGCTGCTGTCCCCAGGTGTGCTGGAGGAAGCTCTCCCGTTGCTGATACTGAAACATACATTTAAAGCACTCTCATGCCACTTCAAACATTAATGGTTGCCCACAAAAGATTCTGGAAACTGTAAGGGTGCTGAGAAAGTAATACATTTCAGGGCTGCTGTAAGGATTTCTGAGGTAATGTTTTGTTGAAATGCTCTGAACACTTGAAATGTGCTACTTCAGTACTATTAATTGATCCCTGTTTTGCCTTGATGCTTCCCTTTTTCACCATAGGAGATTTAACCTGCATTCAGAGGGTCCTGTCTATTTGCACACATCCAGCCTCCTCATTGTGAGGGCCGCCTCTGTAGAATGACCCTGCAATGATCCAGAAGAGGAGGAACGTGATTCTGCTTGAGGATGGAAACAGAGACATTAGCCAAACCTGCTAATCAAAGAACTGGCAGTCCAAGGGATAAGGATCCTTTTGCCCACTCTGCCAACACTATCAAAATGTTTGTCAAAGTCACTGGATAAGCAAAGACCAAAGGTCAGTCCCAGCAACATTTCCATTGTAGGACTCTGACGTGTATTTTCTGCTTGGTTTGCTTCTGGAAGAATCTGGAAACAGAGGAGGGAAATTATGAAGACCAACAAGCTCTCCTCTGTTATAGCTTCTTCCTCTTGAGAGATGGGTTAAGAAGAGCAAACTGCTGACTCTGATAACTTCTCTCCCTGTTGCCTCTCTGCTGAGGTTACTGCCCCATTGCTGGAAGGGACATTATCTGCCAGAAGCAGGTGGTGCTGAAAAGGAGGTGAAAGCCTAGAGCAATTTCCAAAGGTATCTCAGGAAATCGGCTTCAAAATGGCAATTATTACAGCATACTTGACACTGTGGGTCTGCTTGCTGGATGTTTTCTCAGTGACTTGGAGCCGTCAAATGGCTGGTGGAGGCCCTGTAATACTGGATCACCCATTCATCACCGTCTGGAATGCTCCCAGTCAAGAATGTGAAGAGAAATACAGAGTATCCCTTGACTTGCAGATTTTTGATGTGGTTGCCAACCAGAACGAATCATTCACAGGGAGCGACATTACCCTTTTCTACAGCCACAGGTTAGGATATTATCCATACTACACTGAGAACGGCACAGCAGTCAACGGGGGCACCCCCCAAAACGCCAGCCTCAATAGTCATCTTTGGAAGACTGAGCAAGATATTGAAAAAACAATTTCGGAGGCAGGTTTCAAAGGTCTGGCGGTTGTGGACTGGGAGAGCTGGCGTCCCTTGTGGGTTCGCAACTGGGACTCCATGCAGATCTACCAGAATAAATCCATAGAGCTGGTGAAGGAGAAGCACCCCGACTGGCCTGCTGATAAGGTGGCTAGGGAAGCTAAGCGAGAATTCGAGCAAATGAGTCAGGCGTTCATGGAGCTGACTTTGGCGCTTGGCCAAAGCCTGAGGCCGGAGGGTTTCTGGGGCTTCTATGGCTTCCCTGACTGCTATAACAATGAATACAAAAGCACCGATTACACCGGAGAATGTCCAGAGATTGAGAAGCAGAGGAATGACGAATTGCAGTGGCTGTGGAACCAAAGCCAAGCTCTCTATCCCAGCATTTATCTTCCCAAAGAGCTCTGGTTCCTCAACAAGACTCTTGAGTTTGTCCGTCATCGAGTCCAAGAGGCATTCAGGATAGTGAACCAGACGGGGAATGGAAGCATCCCAGTCTTGCCTTATGCTCCATTGAATATCAGTTCACAGAGACACAGAGCTTCCTGTCACAGGTAAGCTTTCCCAGATGTCCCAATGCAGAATACGATCAACCTTTGCCAATAAGTACTTAACCTGAAAACACAACGTGGAAGTGGGAGATACTTCTCTGTCGGGATGCTTGGAGAATCTTGGCTTCAGTGTGTGCAGTTGCCATTAAGAATCTGCTACAGTGATTTTCCTGGGAATGAGCAGTAGCCATGTCAAATATTTCTAATATTAATAGTAATATTCTAATATTTCATTTTGAGAAAAATACTTACCCCAACATGTAGATGTTCATAACATTTCTCCTGGTTAAGCAAAAACGCTGTTGTTGTTCTCCCTTTTGCAACTGTTTCTGGTATATGTCACACTTTTATTTTTGGTCAGAAATGTTATGAAGGCTCTTGTTTTTCAATAAGCCAATGTTGAAAATTCTTGTGTTTTCGAATGTTGTTATGTATTTTAATTTCCCCCATTTTATAAGTAAATATTATGAAAGAAAAATATCAAACTATTCCTATTTCAGATTTCTTTTAAGAAAATCGGGTTTTTAAAATTTTTTTATAAATGTTGATGTTGTGTCAGTAATGAAAATGTACTGCAAAACCTCAAACTAGCACAGTCCCTGCCCAGCAGACTTCAGTTTGTCAGTAATGGGCAGGACTAAGGAGAAAATAAGCCTTGATTTGGGGTGTAGGGAGGTGGGGTGAGGATGTTTTGGAAGGAAGGCTGTAGAGGAGTTAGCTAGTGAGAGGCATGGAACAAGTGAATCTAGGGGAGCCCAGGAAAGACTTCGCAGCGGGAAGCTATTTTAAGAATAAATTTAAAGGAAGAAATGAAACACTGCAATGGTGACACAACAGAGGGGGAGAGGTTCTTCCATATACTTTGTAGGGAGTAGCAAGGAAATGAGCCAGAGCTTCATTTCAGATCAGGCTTTTTCAAGACACCATTGCTCCCCCTCCCACTGCTTCTTCTACCCTTTTCTCACCTTGTGCCCCTTTCATAGGGAAGGTTTGGGGTGGGTGGTGACTGCAAAGCCCAGGCTCCTCTCACACTATCTCCACATAGCGAGCATCTCCTCGCAAGCAAGCTCTGAAAAACACTTCTGCTCCCACTCCCCATGCCTGCACAGAACAAAGTCAGTGTGAAAACAGGCCAGTATAAATATCGTATACTAAGAAATATTCACGTAATTAAAAACATATGATTCCCTCTTCCTGCTGAGCATACTAAGCATATTGCTGTACAATGCATTTCTTCTTCTCGTATTTAAATTTCCTGATCTGTACTTCCAATTTTGTAAACTGCTTTGAGGGTGTTTTTTTAAATAATCAAGAGGTGTTTACATTTATTAAATAAATAATAATAAATAACATATCCCAAGAGATTAAACCAGTGGCAAATATAGGTTTTTGCTGAATCCTGCATTTTGTTGTTCCGATAAGAGACAAACAAACTTCCCTTCTCAATGGATTTGTGTTCTCGTTGCCTATCCAATTAACTAAATGTGCCACTGGATGGCTCTGTCATATTGTGAGCCTGGCTGCTGTTAGCAAAGTAATCACCATCTCTAAATCATTTTCTAGTACACTATACTTTACATATCCAACTAATTTTGCTACAGGATCTTTAGAGAGAGGGATCGTTTTAGCCGAGGCTTTCTGAATTTGCTGAAATGGAGAGAGGACCAGAGAGTGATGAGCAGCAGGATTTGTAGCAGCGAAGGCAGGATGTGACCAGAGCATGGATGAGAGGAGGAATCAGGTGGTTTCTAAGAATGTTGAAGAGGAAGGAGCATCAGCACTGGGCAATGACTTGACTCTGGAGGAATTTGAAGATGACTAAGAAAAGCATTGCATGCCTGGGAGACAGGGGCATGTAATAATAACGCTGGCATGTCCACGAGGAAGTGTCAGATCAGAAAGATATCTTGAGACAAGTGATCCGATAGAAGCAGATGGATTTGAAGGTCATCCACACAAAGGTCAATTAACAAAGGAGCCACTGAGGAGAAGGAGTTAGATCTCCAAAAAAAAGGTTTATTTTTTAAACACTTTGTTAAAGGCAGCAGGCTAAATGTTTAATCACTGATCATTTCCTGATTCCTTTCCTAATACATAATCCTAAGTATGGCCAAGAATCCCGGAGTGTTGCTGGGGTGTTGCTGCTGTCTAAAGGAGGGGTGGGGAACATGTGGCTCAACTATAACTCCCCATCGCCCCTGGCCATTGCCATCCTGGCCAGGGCTAATGGGAGCTAGAGTTCAAGAAGTCACTGTTTCCTCACCTCTGGTTTTAATGGACCAAGAAGGACCCAATGATGGGCATGCAAATCCAGATGTCAGAGAAGAGACTGCTGGTGAACTCACTGTTTTTGCTCTGCTTGTTCTGCAGGAGGACCTGGTCCACACCATTGGTGAGAGTGCTTCTCAAGGTGCTGCTGGGGTCATCTTGTGGGGGAGCACAAATGACAGTAACTCTGAGGTGAGTGACGCAGAGGAGCAGGGTTGGGAGTGGGAGCCAGTGTGGTTCAGTGGTTGGAGCGTCGGGAGCCTGACTGTCGAGTCCCAGGTTCAGATCCTCATTCAGCCATGGAAGTTGCTGGGGGGTCTTGGAGCCAGTCACAGCATCTTGGCCTAACTTACCTTGCAGGGTTCTTGTGAGGATAAATTGGGGGAGGGCGGAAGAACTTTATGTGTTACCCTGGGCTCCTTGAGGAAGCGTGGGATAAAAATGAGGCCAAATAAGTGAACCAGTCAAGGGACAGCAGCAGGATCCTGTAGCTATGGAGCAGAGTTTTGTTTTGTTTTCTTACAACCAAGCAGTACATACATCTCTCTCTGCTTTTGTACATCAACCTGTGTGTTACAGTAGCTGCCTTGTGGTTGTAAATAAATCTGTGACTATGAGGTGCTCAGATTTGCAAGTCCCTTAAGAGAGAGGTGAAGCATCCTTATTTTTTGACTTGCTTTTCTCCTCCTTTACCAAATGATGGGAAGCCCCAGTTTAGACAGGCGAGTCTATGTTGAAGGGGACAGTCCTTGAATGTGCCCTGGAACCTTATTGCCTCTTTGCAAAACTTTTATATTCACAAATGTATAGGTTGAAGGAGAACCTCTGGGGTAGGATGCCGTTATTAGCTTGAATGGGGTTAGTGGTAGTCCTTTTGCATCATCAAGTCAGCTAGCCAGCCAGGCTTCTTTATTTATATTTATAAAAGTCTGTACTGCCATATCACAAATTATCAGGGTGGTATACAAGGTTAAAAACATAAGACACCGTTAAAAAATGAAAATACAGATTAAGGTATGAAGGCAAATGGCTAATTTTGTTAGTTCTGCGATTAGGTGTGTGTTGATGTTGGTCTCGCTTTGTGAGTAACTCATGGGGGACTGGAGATGGGGCTTGGAGATCAGGCAGTGGCAGGAGGAATCCTCCCATTCATGCTCTTAAAGGTTTGGTCCTACAACAGCAGGGATGTGTTGAAGGAACTTGGCTGTTGCCCACTTAGAATGGGAAAATGCTAACTTTCTTCCCCTGGACTTGGTTTTGCCCCTTTCAGGAAGCCTGCCTCGATGTGAAGAAGTACGTGGACACTGTCCTTGGTCCGTACATTGTAAACGTGACCAGCAGCACCAGGCTGTGTAGCCAGATTTTGTGTTCAAAGAACGGCCGCTGTGTGCGGCAGGACGGGCACCTCGATGCTTTTCTGCACCTCACTCCTGCCAGCTTCTCTATTCAGAGGCATTCGGAAGAGCCACGCTTTGTTGTCAGGGGTCAGATGTCAGCGAAGGAGCAAGTCCAGATGGCCAAAGAATTCGCATGCCAATGTTACAGCGGCTGGGAAGGCTCGCAGTGTGAGAAAAAGTCAACCTAAGAGAGAGAGGCACCTTATCTGTTTGCACAGGCACTTACCGTATTTTTCGCTCCATAAGATGCACCTGACCATAAGACGCACCTAGTTTTTAGAGGAGGAAAACACGGAAAAAAATATTCTGAATCAAATGTTGTACAAAACTATTTAAAGCAGCAAAGTGGGCAGCTCTGTCTGCTTTGCTGCTTTAAAGTGAGCCTCAGAGGAGGGAAGGAAGGGGAGCCATGGATCCTCCGCTCGCAACTGCAGCGGGATCCCCGCTGCATCCATAGGCATTCACTCCCCTTACTTTTTAGGAGAAAAAAGTGTGTCTTATGGAGCGAAAAATACAGTAATTGGCAAGGAAAGCTGCAGGAAAGGCACATTGCACCAGCCTGTACTCCTTAGGGATATAAAAATCTCTTCTCTTTCTCTCTTCCCTCACCACTACACACTTATGAGAGGATCTCCACATGTACCTTCTGGTCAACATGTGCTTATACATACTTTCCCCAGAAGCACATACTTGGCTTTCTCCTGAAATATGCAATCTACTCAGAAGAGAGGGAGGGAATGCTTTTCAGGCATGGCTGCACTATAGTACACCGCTTGTCCTTATAAAAACTAACAATGCGCATGCGTATCGATAGACCAGTGTGCATGTGTTTAAATTAAACCGTTAAATGCCTATTAGATACATTGCTGGCCTGCCATTGCAATATTTTGCAACACTCTGTCCTATCTCACGTATGACTTCTGCTCTCCAAGAGCCCTCCTGGCTGTCTTCAGGAGTAGACTTTGTGTTTCAAGCAGGAAACCTAAAATTATTCTCAAACTTGTTAGTTGTTAGGACTGTGAAGAAACACCCTGATCTGCCCCCACCATTTCTCTAAGCCAATTTATCAAGTATCTCCTGCCAATTCTCTTCAGTTTTAAAGAGGGTACCTAAGACGCCTACCTGAGAGACTACAACGGCCTCAACATTGGCCCCCTTGGTCAGAAGTTCTCAGAAGTCACTCCCTCAAGAAGACAAGAAGAACCTTTAAGAAAGCTTAGCTGCCTCTGTGTTCCCTCCCACTATCCGGGATTCAGACTGGACTTTATGCAAGGCTGATCATCTTTGTTGTCTACTCGAAAGTAAATTAGAATCATATTGTAATGGCTAGGATAGGATTAGTCCAGTTTTAGAGCCACAGTGTCCTGGTTTATTTTGTATTCGGTTGCAACCTTCTGCCTGCTTTTCCTTTAACTTTCATGAAGATTTAATAAAGTTTCCTAAGCTGACCACTGAAGTGTGTGTTATTCCCAGCCTCAGAGTTTTAGAATCCCCATGTGTCTTATATTGGCATCTGACTTTCTCAGGAGACCATGAAGGAGTGGAGGTGGAAGGTTATTTTGCCTATCTGGGTTCCACCGTAACCATGTGCCTAGAGATGCTTGGAATTTATGCTACTGAAAGTTTAGGATCAGAGTGTAAGAGACCAGCATGCTCTTCTGAGATCTGGGAAGGGCTCAGGGAGTGTGGGCTGTCTTTACACTCTGAGTAAGTTACAAGGGAAATGTCTGGGACATGCACAGTGCCCTTGGTCTCAGAGTTCTTGGGTTTGAGGAAGTTAGGAGTGGTCTCCCAGGGAAACAATCAAGTTGCTTTGAGCTTGGACCAGGATAAGGCAGCTGGAAGCTAGCCCTGATTTCCCTAGCAGTTTGTGAACCAAGGGATGCCAGGTGCAGTGGCTCGGGACCTTTTGAAAAGCAATTGCTTTGGTGCATCCCAGGTCTGGGCTGCAAGAGTAAGTGGGAAGGTGGTGGTGGCAGGCAGCTACCAGAGAATAAGACAAGGCTGTTGTGTTGCAGTTGAATAAGAAACGTGATTTGCTCCCAAACATCCCTCCTACTTCACAAGGACAACCTTCCTCAAGCTGTTGCTCTCCAGATGTTTTAGATTCATGGGCTGGCTGGGGATGATGGGAGTTGTAGTTCAAAACATCTAGGGGGCATCAGGTTGGGGAAGGCCGAATTAGGACAGCAGATTGACATAAATACATCTGCAAATGGGCACTTCTGTTCCATGCTGCACCTTCCTCACCCCTCCCTACACTTTTTGGATATGAGGGCCACATTCACCCTTGGCCAGCCTTCCATAGGCCACATACCAGTGGTGAGTGTGGCCACTCTTGCATGCATGCACCCACAAGACACACCCGCAGCCTCCCCTCCTTAGCTAATCCATGCAGATCAGCTGAGATCTCTGCTCATCAAAAGATCTAATTACCTGGTAAGCAGCAACCTGCACCCCCATCAAGGTTATGCTCTTGGTTTTCCCCATCCCAGTGTTGTGTCTATTTTTGCTGCTATGCCTAAAATCAGTATGGTCATGGGGAATCAGAAACATTTGCTTGTAGAAGTAGATCAGGCCCCCAAACTAGGATTAGCCACTCTTGCATTACTTATATGGGCAGCCCATTCTCAAATGACTTGTGATGGGAAAGTTCCTGGAAGTGTTTGTTCTTCTGAAAATGCACCTCTTGCATGAAGTGAAGTACCAGGCATTCATTAATGGAGGTAGAGTGACAGCAGGCCCCTCCCGGATGTCCTACTGTGGAAGTGCAACTTCTTCTGAAATTTTTCTGAAATCCTGGGGATCTGAGTAAAAGCATGCAGGTCTACACTACCCCTGGGAACCAATGACAACAGGTCTTTCCATCCTTCTTAAGAACTGAGTTTGGGAAAGGACATACAGTAAACTAAACTAAACTACCTATTGTCTGCCACATAAAAATATATGCTAATATGAGTACTTCCAGTATGTAGCTGCTCCCTTGAGTTAAGTGGGGCTTACTACCAGGTGAGTTTGCATAGGATTGAAGCCTGTATAATGAAGGAAAACAGAAATGGTGTAACTGATCCTTCAGGAAACGTTCTCTACATCCTGCCATGATTTTCTTATTCTGTAAGAAAAACTAAAAACTAAGTAATAATATTTATGTTGTACCTAATTTTACTAACGTATGCTTACTAAATCTATTAAGTCGGCTAAATTAAACAGAGGCCTCTTCCAAGCAAAACAAGGGTTTCAAATGGTGTCTCCAACTGCATAGCGGACAGTCGAATTTCATCTCTTCTGGGGATTCCACGCGTACAATATGCATTAATTCTTCCGAATGCGCACATGCTTCCAGACGCGCGGTTGAAAAAGCCAAGACGCGATGGGGGGTGGGGGTGGGAGGCTCTCCTGAGGAAGAAATTTCCTAGCCGCTACACGGCGCTGTGGCCTCCAGAAGAAGAAGCTGGGCGTCTTTCTTTCCTGCCTCTCCTCGACTTGTGCGTAAAGGGACGAGCGAGGGCGAAAGCGGGGTAGTTCTGCTCTGCGAAGCCGGAGGAAGCGGGGAGAGCTGAGCGCGCGGCTGAGAGCCCCTGCCGTTCGCTAGCATGTCAGTATCTCTTCCCGCCCCGTCCCCGCTTAAAGCGCTCGCGGAGCCGGGCTCGCCATCATTGCACAGCCGGGGATGCGCCCGGGTCGGAAGAGGTGGTGCCGAGGAGGTTACGCCCGGTTGAAATCCCCTCCAGCGGGAGGCAGGGCTCTCCACGGGGCGACACCCCACATTCTCTCGGGGCGTGGGGGGGGGGCAGAATCGCGTGCCGGATTTTAGGGTGGCCCCTACGAGCGGGGGGTGGGGGACCGGCCCGGCGGCGTCTGTCCTGGGGCATCTCGGAGGAAGCAGGAGGCTGTGTCCATAAAAGGGCTTGGACCTCTTCTGGCAAGGAGGAGAGGCTTCTGCGGGAAGCGGGCGAGGACACCCCCGTCCCTCCCTCCCTCCTGAGATCCAGTTTAGTGACTCAAGTTAAAGACTTGCAAGAGTTTCTTAGCCCAGTATTTGCGCGCAGGCACGAGTGAGCGAGAAAGAAAGGAAGGGGGAAATATTATTAGATGCCCGCTTCTCCTTAGGGGGTGCCTCCTGGAGAGCGGCCCCCGGAGAGGAAAGGCCTGCTTTTAAGGAAGGGAGCGCCTTCCCCGGCTGGCCGCCCCTTAGATCGGTGGGAGGCGGCGGGTTTCTAGCGCGTTGGCAGGAGCTTTGCTGACACCTCGCGCCGCTTCTTGGAAAGCTCTTTCGAGCTGCGATTCTGCCCTAGGGGAGGCGGACGGGGGACGCCAACCCACCGGTCTAGGAGCCAGAGAAGGGGCTGCTGGCTGTTGCTTGGAGCAGAAAGAGCGAAAGGGAAGGGATGCGGCAGGGCTGACCATCGACCTCAGCTGAGGTTGCAGAGCCACTGCACATCCGCTCAGAGTTCAAAGGTGGATTCCCCAGGGAACTGAAACAGAATATTCCCGCAGGTGCACACGGGACAAGGCAACTGAAGTGCTTCCTCCCTAATACCTAACCCACCCGCCCCATTACTGAAATGGGTCACTCTTGTAATCAATCCATATTGCCCTAGAGGGGCTGTAGCATCCTTGAATTATAATAATGAGTCTCAGGAGAGAGGAGTACCATATGTGTTGCAAGTGCAAGGCACACTGCCTCCTCTATCATCCTTGGATTTGCCTTAGGCAGGGCTGGAGGATATTGCCTTGGGCATCAGCCTTTTATTAACCAGTACCTCTGCCTCTCAGCAGTGAACCCATCCCTAAACCCTGTAATGTGTAGGCGGCTTTTTATTTGAGTTTTTGTGATCCTTTCGCTAGGAGGAGATTGAGAACCAGTGCGCAATTCAGTTCTCTTTATAGATGTACACCTGAGAGGCAGCAATCCTATATACTTACTCGGCAGTATTCTGACTAAGTATGCATAGGATTCGACTGCATGTGTGAATGAATCGGAGTTTAGTTCATGTAGGTCATTAAAAAAAAAAAATTTAAAAGGCAGTGCATGCTAAGGCCTTGAGGAAGACCAGGCATTCATTTGGAAATAAATGGGATGTGAAAAGCACTGGCATGAGCTCACCTTTCCTCAGCATTAAGTTGTTTATAGAAGTGACCTTTGGTCTCGACTCTTCCTGTGGCTGAAAATGTTTTATTAGGGTTTCCCTGCGCTTTGGTAATTTTAACTGTGATCTATTGACTGTCCTCTCTTTTGGGTCTAGACAGTGGTTTTTGCAGCGTGACTCTTGGGCAGAATAACCAGTAGAGAGGGTTGGGGATGGAAATCCCATAAACAACACTGATGCATCCGTTCACCCATGGGAAAGGATGTGTTGTTGGCTGCCAGATCCCAGTTTTATTAAAGAGGGCCAAGCCATCTCTTGAGACTAACCCAACCACACATGACAGGTACAATCATCCAGCACTTGAACTGTTTCTTTCTTGCGGAGACCTAGTTCTGATTCTCCACTGCCCAGTGCTTTGGATGAAGTGCATGTGAACTGCTTGCATAATCAGAAAAAAAATAATATGTGAGAAGGACTCATAAGTGCCAGTAAAAGCTTTTTATTATTAGGTCCCTTCCAACACTACATTTATATGATTGTATGATTATTATGTATTAAATTTGTACACCACCCTTCCATCTAAAGATCCAAGGGTGGTTCACAACAGTAAAAGAAAAAATGAAAATGCCATATAAAACCAAACCAATGAACTCCCAACTTTCCACAACACTTATAAAAAGCCATAGAATGTTAATCAGCTGAACGCCTGGTTGAAGAGAAACTTTTGTGCCTAGTGCCTAAAAGTATGTAATGAAGGCGCCAGGCGAAGAGGGTAGCCTCCTGTGATACCAATCAAGTGGACATCTTCACTTGGTCGCATGTGAATTTTGAACACTGGACGCGCATCTTTAAACTATGGAATTTGAGCCCCCTAGGTATAGTGATAGCCACCAACTTGGATGACAGAAGTTCGTTGTAACTCAGCCCCATGGAAAGCACTGAAAGGGGGCTTCATTATGACTGCCTTTAAGACTACATTCTTGTACCCAATTTCTTGGGAGTAAACCCCGTTGCTCAATGAATTTACTTCTGAGTAGGCATGTATAGGATTGTGCTGTCAGTGCCTTTTGTCCATTGTCCATTAACCCTTTTGCTTGGTTATGTTTCCCATCCGACAATGGGTAAACAGCAGTTCCAGTTATTCAGAGCTCTATGAATATATGAATGTTTTCTGTGTCCCCAAAAGGAATATGACTGTTTTCCAGAAGTCAGGATATGGAAGGGAATTTGAAACTTAATTGGTATTTTTAATTCCATTGCAGGAAAAGCTGTGCTGGGTACATTAATAGTGGTAGGAAACAGACCACCGCATTGCCTGTGGACAGTCTAACCACCTTGTCTTGTCCCCAGTTTCATGAGTTTTGTGACCTTTTACCAAGGAGTGTTTGTTGGTAGCAGGTGCGTCCCAAAATTACCTGAGACACAGAGCAGGTTTGTTTCCTCCTTGTGTTGCACTATGTGTTGACACTGGAAGACAGCACAGGAGAACAAGCCTCTGTGCTTTGAGACCTTGTAAACAACATCCTTCCTGTCCTTTCTGGAGACCGGGCAGGATGAATGTCTTCATGGCAATGTCCTAGTTCTGCCCAGTGGATTCCCTGGTCTCCTCACCCCACCCCAGTAGGCCTGGTTTCCATCTATTACTCTAGAAACATAAGCTCCGTTTGGCTCTGTAGATCAACCCACTGTTGACATTGAATAAGCCAAAGTTTATATGTTCATAGAACTGGTGTGTAGTTATAACAGCTTGGAAACATGCCTCTAATCAAGAAGGTAAAGTACCTGTACTAGCAAAAGGGGTTTTGTGCTGTGGCAAAAGTGCATAGAGAACTGAAATCAGAGGTGGGGAATTTGTGGTCCTCTAGATATTGCTGATAGATGATAGATAGATAGATAGATATAGATATTGCACCCGGGACGCGGGTGGCACTGTGGGTTAAACCACAGAGCCTAGGACTTGCCAATCAGAAGGTCGGCGGTTCGAATCCCCACAACGGGGTGAGCTCCTGTTGCTCTGTCCCAGCTCCTGTCAACCTAGCAGTTCAAATGCACGTCAAAGTGCAAGTAGATAAATAGGTACCACTCTGGCAGGAAGGTAAACGGCATTTCTGTGTGCTGCTCTGGTTCGCCAGAAGTGGCTGAGCCATGCTGGCCACATGACCCGGAAGCTGTACGCCGGCTCCCTCGGCCAATAAAGCGAGATGAGTGCCACAACCCCAGAGTCGGTCACGACTGGAACTAATGGTCAGGGGTCCCTTTACCTTAGATATTGCTGGACTCCGAATCCCTTCATCCCTTACCATTGGCCACACTGGCAGGGGCTGATGGGAGTTGGAGTCCAACCTCTGGAGGGCCTCAAGCCCCCCCCCCACTCCATCCCTGCTGTGGAGTTAAGAACTTAATTCGTTCTGGAGGTCTGTTCTTAACCTGAAACTGTTCTTAACCTGAAGCACCACTTTAGCTAATGTCGCCTCCTGCTGCCGCTGTGCTTCCAGAGCACGATTTCTGTTCTCATCCTGAAGCAAAGTTCTTAACCCAAGGTACTATTTCTGGGTTAGCGGAGTCTGTCACCTGAAGCATCTATAACACGAGGTACCACTGTGCAAAGGCTCAGCAGCCTCATTTTGTGATGTGTGGAGATGGAAGCATTGGGGAGGAGTTAAGGCACGGTAAGCAGCAAGTCTAGTTTGCCTTCCTTGCCCACCTGCTTTCTATGCTGTTGAATGGTTGCTAGCCCTGCTCCCTTTCCTTTCTACTCATGATAGAATTGCTGTTGCCAAAGTGAGTTGGCTGGATGTTTATTCGGGGCTGGATTCTCAGAATCTAAATGGGTCCATTTCTCCCCACCACCACCACCCAAAAATAGAGTTCTTTGATACTTCAGCCTACACTTGGACCTAGGAGCTGTAGTGGTTGAAGGCATCTGTTTGGGAACCCCATAGACGAAGTCTGTGTCTGCTGCTTTGTTGTTGTTGTTGTCTGGATGGGTGCCAGCCTTTGGCTCCTGTCAGGGCTGGGCTGGGCTACTCAGCACACAATTTACATTCCAAAACCTGGGTGTCAAGTAAACAGACAGCTCACTCTTTAAAAGAAGAAATGAGCTGTAGGCGCATGTGTAGCTTCCTGTCATGCTCTTGCGAAAGTAGACGGTTTCCCTTGAGCCTTAGCATTGCAAGCAGAATCTCCAAAGGAGGGAAGCGGCACTTCAGGCAGCTCCCATTTGCCACAGGTATTTGACACTTCTTTTCTTCTGCTGGTGGTCTTATTGTAGAGCAGGGGAGGGGAGCCTGTGGCTCTCCAAGTCTAGCTGGACTACAGCTCCCATCAATCCTGACCACTGGCAATGCGGGCTGGGGCTGATGGGAGATGAAGTCCAACAACGCCTGGAGAGCCATGGGTTTCTCATCCTGTTATGAAGCGATCCTGTAGCAAACATGTATACTGTGCTCAGACAGCTGTACTAGAGGAACAGGCAATATAAAACTGGGATGGATGGGATATAAAG